GTTGGTAGTGCGCACCTGATAAGTGTGGCGATGTCATGCTATCGCCGATTAGCGGAAACCTATGTAAATACATTTGATTCGCACTTAACTGAACTACCTAATATATCGCCATTCATATCAACAACGTGTTGTAACCTGTCAACTGTAATATTATATTATTGTAACAACCTCGTTAACAGATAAACTGGTATAAAAAAAGGAACCTTAAAATGTTATTAGAAAGGTAACAACAACAACAACTAATGACCAGAAATTATCTTTGCTTTTGTCTCGAGCTTTTGGTCCGTAAAGTTTGGGTTCAACTTTTTAACCAGTTTTTGGTGGAAACAATTTTTTTCTTGTTCTGATCCTAAAAATGAATCCCTCTTTTCACTATTTATTCAAGATCATCTTGAGATTAAACCATTTTTAACAGGCAACAGAACAATTCAGAAATGGACTGATCAGTGAATAAATCATTTTATTGCTGTAAACATATTGTTCATCTCGGCCATGATCATTGACAATATCAATCAATAATCACATTATAAGTGAGTAAAAAAAGCAACAACAGATAATAGATTCATGTAAATCATCATTTGTTCATCGTTTACATTCTAATGGATTTACAAGGTTCATTGAAAAGGAACATGATGCAGGTCAAGTTTCATGAGCTTTCAATTGAACAATCTATTTAGTCGTTTTACCATACATTTTCAATGATATTTTCAGGGTTAATCAGGATTTGATGGGAAAAAGATGAAAAGAATGGGAAAAAAAGTCGAGTTTGAGTCAAAATTTTTTACATAGTTTAATGATAATGTATAATGTAATGTAAATGTATAACCAGGATTGATAGTGTTTGGTAAGAATTTTAAATAGCATTGGAATTTTATTGGAATTAAATTATTATTTAAAGTGATTAATCTACATTGTCCAATGAGAAAGAGAGAGAGAGAGAAGGAGAAGGAGAGAGTTGGATCTGTAAATTGATTAAGAATACTCTCTCAAACAAAAAGAGAGATTAGACATGATGATAGACATGGAGAGAGGAAGATTGGAAAGAGTGAAGAGAAAGAGTTTAGTTTGAATTACATTTGTTTTGCTTGTTTGCCAGGAAAGATGAGGAAGAGACACACACATTATGACATACAGATAGGAAGAGATGAAGAGTCGGGAGATTGGGAAGGGATTGGAGAGAGAGAGAGAGAGACCTATTAATAATGTCCTTGGCCGTAGTCGCACCCGTTGACCAACCAACCCTCTTGGCTACTAGCACTTCCGGGTGGAGGTGGTGGACTCATCATGTTCCCAGGGTAAGGAGGTGAACCAGCTGCTTTTTTGGCAGCATACAGGTTAGCTTCCTCTTGAGCTTTACCAATATTTTTCTTATATCTTATCCTTTTATTACCAAACCAATTAGATACTTGTGACACTGTGATACCGCATTTACGGGCTAACTCTTCCTTGGCTTCTTCACTTGGGTAAGGGTTACTCAGGTGTGAATAGAAATATTCATTTAAAATTTCGGTTGCTTGTTTACTGAAGTTACGACGTTTCCTTCTTGCATCCAGAAACCTCGAACGGAGTATCATTACAGCTTCACAGGTACTTTGTTTGAGCTGAATTTGTATTTGATTAAACTTTTTATGGATTATCTGTACCATTCTTTCAATTTCTTTCGGTGTTATCGGCCTTGTCCGAGATTGTTCTCGTAAAAGATTCATCACATGGGTTGTGAATTCATTGCAGGCCTGTGTTCATGGGAGAAAAGAGGCAAAAGTTTCCAGTTAAAAGTTGAATCCAAAACCAAAGAATCCATTATTAGAATCCATTTATCCTGAAAAGATTACAAGCAAAATTGAATCATCAACTTACCTGCTCATATTTTTCCAATTCTTGGTGGTATATTGATCTTATTTGTGCAAGCTTTGCTCTATAATCAGAATGTTCAATCGCCGTTTCTCCTCCTGATTGTCCGGTTGCTGAAGCTGCTGAAGCATTTGCTGCTGCAGCCTGACCTCCACCCTTCTCTGGACCCGCCACTCCTTCTGCCATTAGCATATTATCTAATCTCATAAGAGATGGATCAGGTGGTTCCTCTTCCTGGGTATTTCTTAAGCTCAAAACTGTTGATGAGAAAAGAGAGAAAAAAAGGGAAAATTATAATTCCATCCATGAATAGCATGATTACTGCTCAAAGTGGACAATAAACTGTTCAACACAAATGACCAAACAAACAACGTGACCAGTATCAAGTAACTTTTCATAGAGTCAATGAAGATCACAGAGAGAGAGAGATGCAGAGAGAAACGGTTTAACTTTTCATTAAACCAAATCATTAACTTTATCATTTTAACCCTTTATCGTTGAGGAATTTTAAATTTTTTGTATTCGAAAAGCAAACATTTGCAACCACAATTGAATTTAATATTGTAATCAGAATCAGATTCAATGGACAAGAGTATCATTGAATATGCAAAGTGAAAATGCATTGTTTTTAAGATATTATTTGCTATAATTTGATAAGAGAAGACAAAAAGTTTCAACGAAATTGATGAATTTTGAAATGTTTGTTTCATTGAAACGTCAATTTGTAGAGATAAATATTTGTAAAATGAATGAATTGCTTGGATGAATGTTGATTTGTTTTTATTGAAAAAAAGAAGCCAAAGTAGAGTAAAATAGGAAGAGAAGGGAAGAGAAACACAATAAATAAAAGTTTAACGGAAGATGAAAGTGAAAGGTGGAAGATTAAAAGTTGAAGATTTATGTCCACAAGGGAGTCCAGTTGGTCCATGGAATGGACGAAAGGATGGAAAAGGTGGAAATGAAAAAGATGAGAAGGGAATACAAGATGAAGAAGAAAGTGAAAGATAAGAATAAGTTGAATGGTGAAAAAGGATAAACAACAAGATGAACAACAAGAAGATATAAAAGTTACTCAAGATGATGCTGATGAGAGGAAAAGAAGGCAAAAAAATGAATAAAAAGTGAACGAAAAGGTTTGTCTTTGAAATCAACTGTGGTGGTCTGCTTATCGCCCTCGGACAATCGGTTGTAAGCTGAAGGCTTGGTTGAACAAGAGCAACATGAACACATTCAATGCAAGTTGCCTTCTCTCAGAACTTATCATTTTCCTACACATCTTTCCTCTTCTTCTCTCCATCATCTTCATCGTACTTTTTGCTTCTCCTTTTTGCTCTTGTTTTTTATCTTATATTTTTATACTTTTGTTAACAAGATGATATTTTGAACAGGAAAAAGTGAAAGACCAAGAAACTCTCCAGAGAGATTAGATTGAATGAAGAGTGCAAGGAAAAGTGTCCAAGGCTGGGCTTTTACAAGATTGATTTGATTGTGAGGTGAGATAGGAAATTATCAGTTCAGTTTGGCTGTTCATTTGGCAGAAGCTGAGCCAAAATTGAAATGAAACATTGAATTAAATGAGCGAGAAAAAAAGATTACAGAAAACTTTTGCTTCTTCTTCCTTCACTCACCTTTTTTCCAATCATTTTTGATTGAAATAATCAATACTACTTTTGGGTTTACCTTTTGAACAAACATTTTTGCAAAACTTTGAGAAAAATTTCTTTTGCTTTTGCAAGAAGCAAGAAAAAAAATGAAAAATGAAATAAAAACTGCAAACCAATGCAATAATAATCACAATTTTGTTTGCCAGCTTTTCAACAAAAATATGCAAAATGATGTATTTTACGTTAACAGTGAAAATGATTACCTGAAGCTTAAAAAGCTCATGATGATAAACTATTATTTACGGATGATAAGTAAAGATATTGAGCATGCAAGTGATATGTGTAATGTTGACTTGAACATTTAACCAGGCAAATAAGAGATCGCAACAGTTTGCTGGCAAACATGAGAAAAACTCTTGAAAGAGTTGAACAAAAAAAAGACACTTTTGTGACCATTTTTTGAGCATTTTTGCAGACAACTGCTCATTGTAATAATAATGAAAATGAAGGGAAAGTGAAGAGAGAGAGAGAGAGAAAATATGAAAATAAAGAGAAACAAGGTTAAAATAAAAAAATCATTGAAAGTGCTGAACCAGAGGAGGTTAACTTAATTATCGCCCAAGGCAATGCAATAACATACACACTCAACACACACACACACTGATGTTCAGTCACATATTCATTGAAGCTCAATTACTGAAGTTTCTTCAAGATTATGAACCTTTCTCTTTACCTTTCCATTCATCCATCCTCATCATACTCACTTTCAGTGCCTCTCACAATTTTGTCTGAAACTAGACTTTAAAGTCATCAAGTTCCCATCAAAGGAAGAAGGAGAAACAAGAAGAAAACAAAATCTCATCATCTTATTAAAAGAAGGAGGCATTTTTTGCCAAAGCAACTTGACCAATCAGAAAATTATCTAAGGAGAAACAAAAATGAAACATTTCTTCATCATGTTGATGATTTTTTTTTACTTAAATTTCAAACTGAACAGGAAAAGCTGTAAAACTGACAAGTAGCCATCAGAGAGGCAAGTAAATAAGCTGGCAAAAGTGTGTTTATCGTTTCACTTGAAGATGTTATACAAGATTGTAAACAATAGGTGAGAGTGAATCTGGTTACATAAAATGGCAACAATTTGTAAATTGTGTTGTCTCTTGAAACAGCTTTAATCAACAGTATTTTGTCAAATCAATGTTAACAGACAAAATGATTAGGGTTGGCTAAAGTGGCCAAGGTAGAGGAAAAAAAAATTGTAAACTTGAAAGAAATCCTTAAGTCTATATAATTTCCTGTAGAGAAATGCTCATTCCAGATAATCATACCTGGAGGGAGAAGAAGAGAGACGATGAGAGACAAGATGCGTGTTGAGGTCATTTTTATAATCACCATTGACTATAACATAGGACATAAGATAGTATCATTTAATTGGATAACAACATAAAAATGTTATTAACCTATTCTTTCTCATTGTTTGGCCTTTTGCTTTTCTCTTCATAAAAATGCACTTTTTTTCCTTGTCGTCATAGCAAAATCATTATCACAATATAATGGTTTTCAAGCATTTGTTGGACAACCAACTCAACATTAACATGAAACAACTGCAAAACTGATGAGCGAACAGAAATGATCAGAGAAAAAAGTTAACGAGCAAAAATCGATACTCAATTTGGATTACAATAAATCTAAACATGTTTTTAATTTAACCCAAAATCATTCATTGCTTCCTATCAATGTCAACACAATTAAAGACAAAAATGAAAAGCTTTTGTTTTTCAAACTCAAGTTTCAGGTGAAATTGGTTAGACTGGTTTCATGATGGAAAAGAGCACAATAGAGCAAAAGGTTGAATGAAGGAGAAAAAGGTTTGCCATGAAAAAAAGTCAGAAAATACAATCAACAGAGTAAACTGACTTTTACAGATTGATTGACAGCAAGCTAATTGTTGATCTTTTTTTTCTTGTTGTTGAAAAATTCTTCGCCATTCACCAGAATTTTCATCATCATCTTCCCTTTGTCTTCATTTTCGTCATATTTTTTAATTAATATGGCAAAAGCAGACGAAGACACAAAGGCAAACCTTGTTAGTGCTTTTTGTTGCGAGTAAAATTAAAACTCGCAATTTAACAACACAAGACAACTGTTATGGCAATTGAGTTTACTTGAAAATGACCTGAAAAAACGGAAAAGTTAATCAATGTCAATTTATTCAATAGTAAACATCAATTTCAATAATATTTCGACTACTTTACATGTGAGTTCATCAATCAATCAATGCCTATCAACAGATTAACATTTCTTCTTGTAACTTGCAAAACTTAAGTAAATACATTTTTGTATCTTTGTAATTGATGCAAATGAACAGTTGAACATTTGTTGTCACAAATGTCAAGCAAAAGATGCAATTGAACAGGACAGTTATTAATTGCATCAATTAACCATTAATTAATCTTAAACAATTGAAACTGAAAAGAGTATTGAACATTCATCATTGGAAGCTGTGCTTTCACTCAATTTACAGAATTATTGAAAAGGCGAAAAAAAAAGTTGAAAAAAAGATCAACTTTTTTTAAGGGGAAACACCTTATTGCACTTTCATCATCACCATCATCATCATCGTGATCAAAAGATGGAGAGAAAATTAAATGATAATGAAGATGATATTAACTGTAGTAGACAGAAGTAGAGAAATGATGAAAAAAGGTTGACTTTTATTCAATTATTACCTTTTCATTTAGCAGTTATTTAATCGTTCTCACTCTTTGCTCTTCAATTCCCTGTTATTACTATTATTATTTTTATTGTTATTATATTTTTGCTATTATTATTATGTTAAAGGTAAAGTGTTGATCAAGTCAAAAGGCTTTTAGACTGTTTAGGCTTGACTTCAAATTGTTGGTCCAAAAAGTGATTTCATTTTTAGTTTCACTTCTGGGTGAACATTTGATTCTAGGTTTAGCCCAATGACTGGGAGTGAGCATCTTAGGTAGCTTAACAAGAAGATGAAAAGTGAGTGCTTTTTTTATTCAATTGAAAGAAATGATGAAGCTAAAAGGTTGGCGAAATGAAATAAATGAAATAGCTTATAATGTGATGATTGAGTTGAGATAAAAAGCTTTCAACTTTTTTCTCTCTCTTCTTTTTCTGACACAAATCATAGATGCGAAACCAGAGAGAAGATGAAAAAAGGAAGAGAAAGATAATGATGATGATGATGATCAAGTGAAAAATTTGAAACTTGTGTTAGTTTGTGGGGAAAGTGAACGAACAAAATTACGCCAAAAAGAAGGTTAAATATCGAAAGTGAAACAGTTTCTCGAGGAATGATGAGGAAGATAAAAGAGTGAAAGAGAAAAGTGATGGAATAGTTCGATGTTTGTTCGATTTTTCATCTGCAATGAGCGAAATGAGAAAACTCGAGTTGGACTATTAATATCGTTGGTTGGAGGAAGAAAACAAAACTAGATGGAAATTGAGAGGAAGGAGGAGAGAAGATGAAGATGGAGAGAGAAAAGTTGCAGTTCCTTTCAAGATGAATTACTTGAAACATTGTAGATTGAGAATGAAATAGACATGGAAAGGAAATAGATGTTGAAGATGAAGCAGAAAAAAAGATGAAATTCATTGAAAAAAAGAGCAAATGAAGAGAG